GTAAAGATGTGAACTATTTATTGTAGCAGAAGAAATGACAACAGACACTGTATGAGTGTACTTTCTGTAGCAATAAGTGGTTAATTGTACAATATAGATCTCTTACTTAAATTAATTTATATTTCACTATGAATTTCAGTATTACATTAATGACAATTGTAATGAACTAATTAAATATGAAAGTCAATATTAATTTATTATCAGAACACTCTTAGTGAATTACAGACAGGTGAGGCTAAATGGTATAATATTATTTATTTGATTATTTCATAATCTATGTGCAGATTATAAAGGAGTTTCTGATTGCTTAAATTCTTATTTCAGTTATAATTACCTGATACTGAAGTATACTATACTAAAGTAGCTTTTCATTGGAAAATTATAGCATCACCTTTTATGACTATCTTTACTGCCTCTTTTCATGCAGAGCATTTATATGTAAAGTCTTTTTTCAGTATTGAGGTCAATTGGTGTATAATATTATGTTTAAAAAAACATAGTTTCTAACTGTTATTTTCAAAAAAGAGCATCGCAAAACTAGTTCTCTTAAGAAGGAATGTTTTATTAATGAAGTATTTCAAATAAATATATATATATATATTCAGTGAAAGGAAGTGAGTTTTTCTTACTTAGAAAAATTTAACATAAAAATATAAATTATTGAATGAGAGCAGGTTATATGTTTATGAATGTAGAAATAGATCTTGCCATATTAAGTTTTGCTAATAATCAGAAGTTCACATATTGTTACATATTTTAAAACACAGTTAATATCTTCCTCACACTGGGAAAATATTTCTACATTTTATATTGGGAGAGGTGTTCAATTTATTTGCATGAAAAATAGTGTAAAAGGCATACCTGTTTATTGCTAATTTTACCTACATTAAATAATTTTATTTTTCTGTGCTATAATCAGCCATATTTTTAAAAAAATAACAAAAACCTTATTCCTGGCTACCTCTATTACTTATATTCCATTCTTAGAAAGAAATTACTGGACAACATTTTTAGAATGATGACTTATTTTTACACATATATTATGCAAGGTGAAGAAGAGAACTTTCCCAGGAATAAACTATCCTCCCCAAAGCAAGTGAAGATTTCCTCCAATTTTGTTCCTTGTAGTTGAGCATTATTAGAAAATCCTCACAGATCTCACAACTGGTTCACGTTTCTATTAAGAGACTACAGATATGGTATTAAGTTTGGACTTAGAGAGCTGTAAGAAAAATTCTAACCATGTCTCCATACATTAAAAACACCAACAGGGCTCCCCTGGTGGCGCAGTGGTTGAGAGTCCGCCTGCTGATGCAGGGGACACGGGTTCGTGCCCCAGTCCGGGAAGATCCCACATGCCGTGGAGCGGCTGGGCCCGTGAGCCATGGCCGCTGAGCCTGCATGTCCGGAGCCTGTGCTCTGCAACGGGAGAGGCCACAACAGGGAGAGGCCCGCATACCGCAAAAAAAAAAAAAAAAAAAAAGCACCAACAAACATCATTTTATTTTAGGCCCTTTATTATAAAACAAATAGAAGAGAATTATTTAAACTGTGCAAGATTTTAATGTACAATTTTTCTAAAATAACTATGTTATTTCTAGGGTCCATGAATTTGTACTTGTTTCTATTCTGGAAGATTATTTTTATTTCTCACCTTGAGGATCCATGTTCTGAGCAAATTCTCCCCATTTGTAAACTTAAGTGCAAATCATCATCTCCTCTGGCCTGGACTATTGCAATATCACCTCAGAGGTTTCTCTGCTTCTGTTCTTGCTCTTTTGCCATATTTTTCCACACAGTAACAAGAGGGATCTTTTAATGACATCACCCAACTGTTTAACTTCCCTCCTCTCCAGAACTTCTCCTAACACTTTGAATGAAAAATCCACAGTCTTTATTTTACTAGTACTCAGCATATTATAATCTGGCTCTTCCCTATCCCTCCAAATTCACCTTCTTGCTATTCCTCAAAGCTGGGAAATTCCAGGTCTCTTTTTGTAGTAATCTCTCACTAGAACTAGACAAGCCTTAATCAAATCATTTAAGTTTCTGCTCAATGTCATCTCCTCTGAGAGGTCTTGCTTGTGATTCTGCCTAAAATAGTAGAAAACCTCATCACTGTCTATTCCTTTAGCCTGCTTTATTTTCTTCATAGCACTTACTACTTATTGAAATTCTATATTTTGTTTAGTTTTGTTTTTCACTTTTTATGGTCTATCTCCTGGACTGAAATATATGCTCAGAGTGTAATGACTTTATTAATCTATCTGCTGCTATCCCCAGTGTGTAAAAGAACATGTGGCACATATGTTCTCAGTTTATAGTCCCTGAATGAAAAAAAGAAATGAGAATCTCTAATTCCATGAAACCTTTTCTAACAAACTCCCACCCTCAACATACATCAGTTAAACAGAGGTAATGATTCCTCTCTTTATCCCAACTTGGCATAAAAGTTAACTTTTATTGAATAGTCACTGTGTGCCAGGCAGTATCTAAGACTTTTACCTACATTGTTTTATATAAACTCACAACTACTCTGTTGCAGTAACTTCTTATTCTTCTTCTTTTCCTCCTCCTCCTCCTCTTCTTCTTCTTCCTAGCCCATTGTCACACAACAAGCAAGTGGCAGAGTCAGGAATCAATCCTAGGTAGTCTGGCTCCAGAACTGGACTTTAAAACCATCACGTTACACTACCTCTTTTTAGGGAAATCATCGCAGTATTTTGCAATGGTTTGTTTGCAGATTAATATCACTATACTGTGAGCTCTCCTGGGGAAGAGGCATGATTATTTCAACACAACACAAGCACAATGGTAGTAACTGAGAGAATGAATGAAGAATTATCTATACTTACACAGCAACCAATGAGCCCATACAATCTAAAGTCAAAACAAATGCATTTTTGTCAGACTGTCAGTGAGACCAATGAGGAACCTATAGTTTACCTGAAGAACAGATAAATTTACTATCATGAAAGTGTTCAGAACAGATATTAATCATGCATCCCTTCAATCTATAAATGTTTATAAACAGCCACATGGGCAGAAGAATTCCAAGAATATTCTTTGAAATTCAGACATAAAACATTACTAAGAACACTTGGAGAAGCCAGATAAATCCTCATTTCATCCTGGTGATTTTCCTCTTTTCCTTCTTTTTTTTTTTGGTAATTCTTTGTGGAGATATAGATGGAATATAACTTGATTTTACTAATGAACTCCAGACTTATGTTATAAATTTCCTTTCAACACTTGGACCTCTCTGACCCTAACATTATGCAGTGAAGTTAGAAGCACCAAACACTTTGAATACAGGAAAATGTGAAAATGTGAACCGGCAAAAATCTGCTCTATGTGTCTGAACAACTAAAGGGAAAACATGTCTACTGTTTTTCCCAAGACTCTTTGTATGTGTCAGAGATGCATCTCAGATCAGCTATGATACAGAGTATTATTGGATGAACTAGCCTAGCTAAGGAAAGGCAAGATGAAGTGCAGCCTCACTGTCTAGTCTGGGGCATATGAACCAGGTACTCAAATGCTATCAGTATTCTTACAGAGTTTTATGTGTTTATTCTTAGTATATGTCATTTATGTCCACTAACGAGGGAGGAGAATAATTGTGTTAAACACCTGAAAAATTAAATCCAAAAATTCCCTTCATAATAGTGGCTCTGTTCACAATTCAAAAGCAGTCAATTAATTTTATCAGTCAAGTGGGAGAGAATTTTTTTTTTAAAAGCATACTTTAGGTAAAATTTTTATTAATCAATTTTGGTTTAAATGATGTTACAATGAGATCATCTTTGGTATTTGAAATTCTTTAATTAATTTAGGAAGTTTACTATAATGCCTCAACCAGAAATATGTATTGAGTACAGTATATATACAGTAGTGAACAGTATATATACAGTATATATTTTTAGATATAAAGCAATACTAAGAAAAGTTTGAACAAGAGAAGTATATTCCTTCTCCAGGAGAATACATTTCAAAATATCTGTAGTAAAGAACCAGATTTTTGGTTGTTTCCCTTTCTCCCCAGTACCTCAGGTACCAATATTTTTGTTAAAAATAATGAAATAACTACAAAAATAAAATGAAAAGGCAAAGACATACAAAATGCAAACCCAAATTATTTATTTTTAGATTTAATGAACATAAAGCTGCATTTCAATAAATATAACCACAAGAAATATTACATAGAAAAATAACTATAAAATTTCTGTAAATTGTTTACTTAAAATGTCTATATGGGTGATTAATATAGACAAGAACTATTTTATTCATAATTTTTTCTTCAATTGTAACTAAGCAAAAAGTTATGTGTAAAAAACTCTTATCTCAAATATAGTTTTTGCACATTTTTAACCATCACCATGCAAATCAATATTTAAATTTTTTGATGTAATAAATGAACTTGCTTCTTACTTCCTTATTTATCTAATGTAAACTGCATGAATACATTTCTAAATTTTAGTCAACATTTTTGTTCTTATTTCATCACACACCATAACAAATAGTTAAAATGTAGTATGAGAATATAACTTCTCTACAAATTCTTACTGCTGTGGCCTCCCCAACTCCCTTCTTTGGCCCCTCAGTTCTGCAAGCCCTTAAATCTGGGTTCTCTCTCTGGCATTGCAGGCTAGACATGCTTCTAGTAGTTAGTTCCTGTAAGTGTACAGGTCACCTTGTTTGTTATCCTCGTCATATGGCTTTCATTTCTTCACTGTTTTCCAATGTCTGGAATGTTGTTTCATATTTCCTCCTCTTTCCTTTGTTGTTGAAGAAGAGCGTAGATTTGGTCTTGCTATACCACCTTGGCTGAAAATGAAAAGTACTACACCACGCATGTTTTGTTGTTTCAGATATTTATTGTTAGTTGCTTCAAAATATTTTCTGTTTTTATTTCCTATTTGTACCTTGAATTATTTAGAAATGTATTATTTCATATCAGGCAGTTGGGTTTTTCTGATTCTATTTTCATTATTGATTTCTAGATTAATTCCACTCTCATCAAAAAACATAACTGGATAATTTCAAGTTTTTGGATTATGTTGAGGCTTTCAATTAGCAATAATTGTGCGTCGGATAAGCCTCATTGTCTACGATACTGCCACTGCACAAAGCTATGTTGAGGCTTTCTTTTCAGCCTAGTATATGGGTAAATTTTATACATGTGTACTTAAAAATATATATTCTGTTGTTCTCAGTGAAATGTTCTCTAAATATCAATTAGATTGTGTTTAAAAATATAATTGTTTATATCTTCTAATTTTTTGTATGCACATTTCTTCTGTCAGTTATAGAAGGAAGTGTGTTAAATGATTGTGGATTTCCTCTTTTCTCCTTTTTGTTCTGTAATATGAATTTATGATACTTGAGATTGTAATATCTTCCTATTGAATTGACTTTTTAAATATTTTAATATGGCCCTCTTATCTCTAGTAGTGCTCTTACCCTGAGGTCTATTTTGTCTTATATTTGTATAGCAACACCAACTTTCTCTTTGTCAATGTTTCATGCTATCATTTTCCAACATTTCTCTTTCAACTATTTTGTGTTCTTATACATAAAGTATGTCTCATAAGCAATATATAGTTTTTTTTAATAGATCTTTATTGGAATATAATTGCTTCACAATACTGTGTTGGTTTCTGTTGTACAACAAAGCAAATCAGTCACATACATACACATGTCCCCATATCCCCTCCCTCTTAAGCCTCCCTCCCATCCTCCCTATCCCACCCCTCTAGGTCATTGCAAAGCACTGAGCTGATCTCCCTGTGCTATGCTGCTGCTTCCCACCAGTCAACTATTTTACATTTGGTAATGTATATATGTCGATGCTACTCTCACTTCACTGCAGCTTCACCCTCCACCCCATGTCATCAACTCCATTCTCTATGTCTACCTCTTTATTCCTGCCCTGCAACTAGGTTCATCAGTACCAATTTTTTTTCTTTTTAAAAAAATTCCGTATATATGCATTAGCATACGGTATTTGTTTTTCTCTTTCTGACTTACTTCATTTTGTATGACAGACTCTAGGTCCATCCACCTCACTACAGATAATTCAATTTCGTTTCATTTCATGGCTGAGTAATATAGTTGCTTTTTACCTTCACCATCTTAGTCTTTTACTTGATGAATTTAACCTATTTACATTTAATGTATTAATTGATATAGCTGTATTTATGTCTGCCATCCTACAATGTTTCTTTTTTACTGTTTTCTTTCTGACTTTTGATTTAGCAAAATATTTTTTTTTCTTAAATGAACTCTTTAGTTATATATTCTGTAACTATTTCTAGTGACTTCCCTAGAGATTATAGAACTCATCCTATACTTATTACAGGCTAAAACAAGTTATTTTACCACTTTCCTGCTACTGCATAAACCATAGATCTTTTAACTCCTTTTACTCCACTACTTCATTTATCATTCTTACTGTTTTTAAAATGGGAAAATATTCTAAAAATTCACATTGCAACTCCAACCAGGCTTGGCTTGAAAGTTTCCCCTGTACTTGTTGAAGAAAAAATATATCATGATACTATTTAATAAGGAAATATTTCTTTTCTATCAGAAATTGAATTCAATTGGTGAAGTCTTTTAGCTTCCATCATAAAAATCATCAAGGTTCTCCCCTTCTCCCATGTAATGATTGGTTATGGTAATTTACTTTCTAGTAATGAAAATCTCTTGAGTTCTCACAGAGAACTTCTCTTTATAATGGTATTTTATAAATGTAATATTCTGTTATATTTGATTCACTACTACTGTATGTATCATTCATCTATATCCATAAAGTGAATTTCTTTGTATGTTGTTGTGTCATTTTTGTTTTATTCTATTTATTTAATGTTTGTTAGGAGTTGGTAGCAGCATCATATTAACTTCATAAAATGAATTGGGAAATTTCTCTTATTTCTCTGTACCTTGGAAAAGATTGAAAATCAAATAAATTTTGTATTTTTAAAAGTTTGTACAAATTCATCTATGAAACCATCTGGGTCAGGAAATGATTTGAGGAATTTCTCTGGTCAATGTAACAATTTAATTTTGTAACAAAAATTTTGCTATTTCATTGAGTGCTTAAATTTAATGATCATGATTTCATGTACATAATTAATCTGAAAAATAATTTTTCTGTGTCTGAAGTTTTATCTTTTTTCACGTTCCTAATATTGTGAATTACTATTTTCACACACTTTTTCATGATTATCTTTCAGAGGTTTGTATATTTAATTATAGTGTTCAAATAACTAGCTTTATATATGTTCTCATTTCTAACTATCCTTATTTATTAAGTTATTTTGTCATTTTTATAACTTCTTTTCTACTGATTCTTAGGGGTTATTTCATTGTACTTCTACAATTTTTGTATTAATGTTTATTACTGCAAAACAAATGACAGCAAACATTGCAACTTAAGATAATACCAATTATTGCCTCAATGAAGGTCAGAAGTTCAACATGACATTGCTGGGATCTCTGCTCGAGGTATTGTAAAGTCAAAATCACAAGATTGGTCAGGCAAATCTTCTGGAGGCTCTGAAAAAAATTCTACTCACAAGTTTATTCTCATTATCTTCAGAATTCAGTTTTTGCTGTCATAGAACTGAAGTCTTTGTGTCCTTTTTGCTGTCATCTGCTTCAGCTTCTAGAGACCACCCATCTTCCTTGCCATGTGGTTTTTCATCCTCAGATGGAAGCATGCTAAATCCTTATCACGCTTTGGATCTCTAACCTCTCATATCTCTCTGTACATCATATTTAAAGAGATTATGTGATTAGGCCAGGCACATCAGGCTATTTTCCTACCTTAAGGTCAACTGGTTTGTGACCTCAATTACATTTGCAAAATCCTTCATAGTAGTGTCTAAATTAGTATTTGACTGAATAACTGGGAAAAGGCATGTGTATACAGGGTCATGTAGAATTTTGCCTAACATATCTCTGTTAGTAGAATATTTGATTCATTTATTATTCTACTTATTTTGCAGCTGTACATTTCCCAAGTACACATTTGTCTATGTTCTCTACTTTTTGGTATATTCTGACTTGAGAAGTTGATATCTTCTATGACTCAAGAATTAACAAGTTACTATTTTTGGTTCTTATGTGGTTCCTTAAGAATTGCTTTTGTAGAGCTTAAGCTTCAAGATGGCAGAAGAGTAAGACGTGGAGATCACCTTCCTCCCCACAAATACATCAGAAATACATCTGCAGGTGGAACCACTCCTATAGAACACCTACTGAATGCTGGCAGAAGCCCTCAGACCTCCCAAAAGGCAAGAAACTCCTAACGTACCTGGGTAGGGCAAAAGAAAAAAGAAAAAACAGAGACAAAGAATAGGAATAGGACCTGCACCAGTGGGAGGGAGCTGTGAAGGAGGAAAGGTTTCCACACACTAGAAGCCCCTTTGCAGGCAGAGACTGCGGGTGGCAGAGTGGGGAAGCTTTGGAGCCACGGAGGAGAGCGCAGCAACAGGGGTGCAGAGGGCAAAGCAGAGAGATTCCCCAGAGGATTGGTGCTGACCAGCACACACCAGCACTCACCAGAGGCTTGTCTGCTCACCTGCTGGGGCGGCCGGGGGCGGGAAGCTGAGGCTCGGGCTTCAGAAGTCAGATCCCAGGGAGAGGACTGGGATTGGCGGCGTGAACAGAGCCTGAAGGGGGCTAATGTGCCACAGCTAGCAGGTAGGGAGTCCGGGAAAAGGTCTGGAACTGCCGAAGAGGCAAGAGACTTTTTCTTCCCTCTTTGTTTCCTGATGCGCAAGGAGAGGGGATTAAGAGCGCTGCTTAAAGGAGCTCCAGAGACGGGCGCGAGCCATGGCTATTGGCGCGAACCCCAGAGACGGGCATGTAACACTGAGGCTGCTGCTGCAGCCACCAATAAGCCTGTGTGCAAGCACAGGTCACTATCAACACCTCCCCTCCCGGGAGCCTGTGCAGCTTGCCACTGCCAGGGCACCTTGATCCAGGGACAACTTCCCCAGGAGAAAGCATGGCATGCCTCAGGCTGGTGCAACATCACGCTGGACTCTGCTGCCGCAGGCTCACCCCGAACTCAGTACCCCTCCCTCCCCGCAGCCTGAAAGAGCCAGAGCCCCCGAATCAACTGCTCCTTTAACCTCGTCCTGTCTGAGCGAAGAACAAACGCCCTCAGGCAACCTACATGCAGAGGCAGGTCCAAATCCAAAGCTGAATGGTGGGAGCTGTGCGAACAAAGAAGAGAAAGGGAAATCTATCCCAGCAGCATCAGAAGCAGCAGATGAAATATACACAGTCAACTTGATGTTCCCTGCATCTGTGGAATACCTGAATAGACAACAAATCATCCCAAATTGAGGAGGTAGACTTTGGGAACAAAGATATATTATTTTTTTCCCCTTTCTCTCTTTTTGTGAGTGTGTATGTGTATGCTTCTGTGTGTGATTTTGTCTGTATAGCTTTGCTTTCACCATTTGTCCTAGGGGTCTGTCTGTCCGTTTTTTTTCTTTACTTTTTAATTTTTTTTCTTAATAATTATTTTTTATTTTAATAACTATATTTTATTTTACTCTACTTTATTTTATTTTATCCTCTTTCTTTATTTCTTTCTATATTTTTTTCCCTTTTATTCCGAGCCATGTGGATGAAAAGCTCTTGGTGCTTCAGCCAGGAGTCAGTGCTGTGCCTCTGAGGCAGGAGACCCAACTTCAGGACACTGGTCCACAAAAGACTCCCCAGTACCACATAATATCAAACAGTGAAAATCTCCCAGAGATCACCATCTCAATGCCAAGACCCAGCTTCACTCAACGACCAGCAAGATACATTGCTGGACACCCTATGCCAAACAACTAACAAGACAAGAGCACAGCCCCATTCATTAGAAAAGAAGCTGCGTAAAATCATAATAAGGCCACAGACACCCAAAAACACAACACCAGATGTGGACCTGCCTACAAGAAAGACAAGATCCAGCCTCATCCACCAGAACACAGGCACTAGTCCCCTCCACTAGGAAGCCTACACAACCCACTGAACCACCCTTAGCCGCTGGGGACAGACACCAAAAACAATGGGAACTACAAACCGGCAGCCTGCAAAAAGGAGACCCCAAACACAGTAAGTTAAGCA